CACCTGCCTCTGCCTCCTGACTGCTAGTACCCAAGGTGTGCACCACCACGCCTGGTAAAACTCACGTTCAACACGAAGGCTTTGGCGTCTCTCAACACGCAGACTCCCTGGCCCTGGAGGGAGTGTGGGGGGCAGCATGCCTTGAATTCACCCTTCCTCTGAGCCCCGCCTTCTGCATGCTCATGCAGGCACTACATCCCCACGTCACAGATGATGTTCTCGGTGATCGGAGAGTCCAGGAGGGCTGCTGGGACTTGGGTCGAATGCAGGAGGGTGTCTGATTCATGATAATGATCCCAACAGCCATAGGCACTGCAGAGAGAGGAAGCAGGCTGGTGAGGGGACAGAGCCCAGGGCCATCAGGTCAGAAAGCGCCCGAATGGCCCAGGTACCATGGTCTTCTAAAGCCTCCCAGGCAAGGCTCTGGTGGCACTGTGGTCAGGTTTGCTCCAGCCACGCACCCTTGATGGGCAATGGAGGGTGTCAGGCCCTGCTGCGCTGAGTCCTCCATTACTCTAAGGTGTCCTCTCTCCCATCAACAACTCACTGTCTTTGGCTTACTTTATCTTTTGCCTTTAATGTGGCCCACATCAAAGAGATCTACAAGAAAAAGACCCCAAAGAAACAAACCTGGGCCCTCAGGAAACCACCCTTTACCCAAGGAAGGCCACAGTGGGCATTCGGAATGCCTGCCCACAGCCAACCCTAAGTTTCTTGCTATAAATACTTGTGGGTTGAACGGTGCCCCCACCATCTGCTGAAGTACCTTCAGGCCTGACCTGTCGATGTGAACATGACCTTATCACAGTTTCTGTGGTACCAGGGATTGAACCTGCAGCCTGGCACAGGATAAGCATCTGTCCTCCACTGAGCCACACCCCAGTGAATACAACCACGTGCTAGAACAAGACTCTGCAGATGCCATGATGGACTGCAAGACGAGACCACCCTGGATGTCCCAGGTTCATCTACATGACCAGATGGCCTGGAGTGATGCGGCCACAAGCTAAGGGATGCTGGGGGTGGAGGTGGGGGTCCCAGAAGGACCATCCCACAGAGCCTTCAGATGGATGGAATGTAACCTGAACACACTCACTTTGGACCTTTGGTCTCTCAGACTGTAAGAGAACAGACCAGTATTTCTATAAGCAACAAATTTGTGACCCTCTGTGGCAGCACCAGGAAATTGCCATAATGCTCTAAGATGGTTTGGTCTAAGCAGTCAGATTTCCAACAATAAAATGCAGGGTATTTGTAACGCAGGTTCAAACCGTCAAGTTCTCCTTCCTAGCCGACTGCAATGTGGAAGGCATGCTTTACATCACTTTCCTTGTCTCTAACCCTGGAGAAGCACCCCAGGGCAAGAGCCTTGTTCAGGCTCACGGTCTGAGGGACTACAACCCACGGTGCTGGAGAAGGCTTCACTGGCGTGGCTCCATGGCTGCAGGACTTCGGGGCGGCCCACTCATGGTCCAAGAAGCAGAGGCAGGTCAGGAAGTGGAGCCTAGCTATGACTCTCCAGGCCCCTTTCTAGAGAGCTACTTCCTCCAGGTAGGCCTCACCTACGGAGACTCTGCAACCTCCCCAAACAGTACCACCAGCCGAGGACCAAGTTCAAACACACGAGTGTACTGGGGACATTTCTCATCCAAGCCATAATACCAAGCAAACCCCATACACCATGAAGGAACACCCGCCCTGACAGGCAAGTCTTTGGCATTTTTAGGTCTGGAAATACATTGCAGGGTCCAGAGAGCTGGCCCAGCAGTTAAGAACACTGGCTGCTCTTGCAGGGGATCTGGGTTCAGTTCCCAGAACCCACAGGGCAGCTCACAACAGTCTGCAACTCCAGTTCTAGGGGATCCAATGGCCTCTTCCAGCCTCTGTAGGCAGTGCATGCATGTGGGGCCCATACATACACACAGGCACACACTCATGCACATAAATATGGTTGTAATTTCAACCATCCAATCACCGGTGACCTCTAATCCCAGCGGCTGGGTGGTAGTGGGAGAGGCAGTCTATGGCAGGGGCTGGTCATTAACGCCCGGGTCCCCTATGGCTGGTCTCTGAATCTACAAAATTGGCTCAGAAAAAACAGTTCAGTTTGTGGGTGAGGGATGGGACGCTAGGTCAGCCCTGGTGCCTCTTGAGGGTGGGGGTTGGGCCAGCTGGGGAAGAGGTGAAGGGATGTTATTCCTCTGCTGCCTCAGTTTCCTCTACTGCCCACAGTTGCAAATAGTAAAACTTGGGCCTGTTCAGCAGGCTGTAAGCACGACAGAATGCCTGGGCTCTCACTTAGAAACGTTTCCCCTTTAAAATGCCAGGTCTAGGGGCTGAAGAGATGACTCAGTAGTTAAGGGCACTGGCTGCTCTTGCAGAGGACCCGGTTTTGATACTCAGCACCCACCTGGCAGCTAACTACTATCTGTAACTCCAGTTCTGGGGATCCGGCACCCTCTTCTGACCTCTGTGGGCATTATAGGACACAGGTGCACTTACACACATGCAGACAATACACTTGTACACATAAAATAAAAATAATAAATAAGTTTTTAGTGAGGGGGCAGTAGGGAGATTTGCCCTGCTGAGGACACTGGATCGTGTGGACCACGCCTGCCCCTCCTCATCCCCAAGCCTCTATTAAAGTGGTTTGACCACCCCCCAAAATAATAATAAATAAAACATATTTTTTTAAAAATGACAGGCCCAGGATGGGCATGGTGGTGCATACCTTTAGTCCCAGCACTTGGGAGACAGGCAGATCTCTGTGAGCTCAAGCCCAGCCTGGTCTACATAGTGAGTTCTGGGCTACCTGGGGCTATAGGAAGACCCTGTCACAAAAAAAAAAGAAAAAATGACAGGCCCAGATTTGGGGAAGACAGAGAGAGATGAACATGGAAACCCTGAGGGTGGGCTGGGGGTCCAGTGATGGTGCAAGTCTTTTATCGTTAACTTTTAAAAAATTTATTTATGTATATGAGCATATTACCTGCATGTATATAAGTGCACCCATGTCATGCAATACCTGCGGAAGTCAGATGAGGGCGACAGATTCCCCTGGAACTGGAGTTACAGCTGGTTGTTATCCACCATGTGAGTGCTGGGACTCAAACCCAGGTCCTCTGCAAGAGCAGCCAGAGCTCTTAACTACTGAGCTGTCTCTCCAGCCCCATCACTAACTTTTTTTGCTTTGTTTCTGAGGTAGCATCTCGCCAATCCCAGGCTGATCTTGAACTCTCTACATACCTCACGATGACTTCAAATTCCTGATCTTCCAGCCTGCACCTCCGGAGTGCTGGGATTACAGGCACGTGCCACTGTGCCCTGTGTACATGGTGCTGGGGATACAACCCAGGACTTCACGCATGCTAGGCAAGCGCTCTACCAACTGAGCTACAGCCGCAGTCCTGTTGTGGAGGTTTTTGTGGGGCAAAACAGCCAGGCCCATGGCAGGAAGCTATGAGATGCAGGTGACCGGATGTCCATACCTCAGGCAGTTAGGTGAGTGATTTGTTAAAGAGCAAGTCTAGTGAGGGCACAGACCCCATTGGATGGCCTGGGGGATGGAGCCTTGGTTGGAGTCAGGGTTCTATGGAGAGACATTAGCCTACCGAAGTAGATGAGCTTGGGCAGAGAGGAAGATGCCTTGGGACGAGGACAAAAGCAGAGCGCAGAAGAGTGTCTGCTTTCTTTGTCCAGAAAGCAGAGCAACGGAGGGAAAGGAACAAAGAGCAGAGACCCTTCTAGACCCACAGCTGTTTAGGAGCCGCAGAGACTGATGGAAAACTAGCAGAGCACAGAAGACAGCCATCAGCAAAAGCAGAAGCCAGTGTAGCCAGGAACAGACATACAAGGCAGGGCTGGAGAGAGGGCTCAGAGGTCACAAGCACTGGCTGCTCTTCCAGAGGACCGGTTCGGTTCCCAGCACCCACACAGTGGCTCACAACTGCCTGTAACTCCAAGTTCAGGGGCTCTGATGCCCTCTTGTTGCCTCCGCAGGCATTGCATGAGTATGATGCACTTACATACGTGCAGGCAAAATAGTCATTCACATAAAATAAAAATAAATAAAATCTTAAAGAAAAAAAATAGAAACACAGGAGGTGATGACTGAGCAAGAGACCAGAACAGAATCAAGGCACCACGTTCTTGAGTCTCACAGAAGGCAACCAGACTGCCTAAAGATACGGAGATTGTGGGACAAGACCCCTCTATGGCCAAGCACGAAAATCAGAACCTGAAGCCAGCAAGATGGCTCAGTGGGTAAAGGTGCCAAACACAATAGCCTGAGTTTGAGTCCCTGCACCAATACAGTAGAAGGAGGTAACTGACCTCCACATGTCCACAAAGGCATGTGCCCTGCCTACACACACACACACACACACACACACACACCCCAAAGATGGCACCTTCAAGGACACTTTTCAGCCTTTGGCTGAGACCAGGTGCCAAGCTGACCCTTCCAGGCAGCCTCATGTGTAAGGGGTGAGCAGACTTCCACAGGACCTCCTTATAAGATGCCATTCACAGTGACCTATTCCTTCCCCCCACCACAGTGCCATCGCCCTGGGGACCAGGTCTTAGCCCCCGCCTGTGCAAACCCAGCTCCTCTCTTCCCCCAGCGGGAAGCTTGGAGTTACCCAGCCTCCCCGGCCTGCCCTGACCCAGCAATCCCTGGTACTACCCGGGTCCGTTCTCAGTTGCTGACACCCCTAAATGGATTCACATTTCTTCTGTGCTCAGTAACAGCCCCTTCTTCCTGCCTTTTGACAACACTACCTGCTCACCCTGAGATGGATGCCAGTGTGCTTAAACTTTACCATATTTCCAGTTCTGGTCCAAGCCTGTATCTTGCGCCTCTGTCTTTGGCAATTTGAATGCCTGTAAGAAAGTGAGGAGGGGCAATTTCAGCAGCTGCGACATGCACAAAGGCAGGCAACACATGCTGCTGCAGATGAGGTTGGAGAGAGGCTCTGTGGTGTCCCCAGTCTACTCCAGTCTGTCTGTTAACAGCAGACGCTGGCATACACCTGTGACACTGGCACAACCTGTGCACACCTGCAGGAAACAAGAAACGAAAGGGCATTTGGGCGACCTTAACACAAAGGAGGGGCAGGTCACACCTTGGTATGTTCGATAAGAAGTTACCAAGACCAGGTGGAGGAAAAGTGCTGTAGACAGGTAAGGTGTACAACCAACCTCAGGGCTGTGCCAGCACGCAGCACCCATAGCAGGTTTAGATAGCGGCTGCCAACATGTAAGCAAAGCAAGCCAGGTAGCCTCTCTTCACCCCAGCAAGAAGATGCTGACGGTGAAACCGAGTTGATTACTACATTTAAAAAATGCTGGGTCTGGAGAGATGGGATTAAAGGCGTGCGAAGCTCAGCACAGAACAGCCCAAGGTGACACACCTATAGGTCCACCCAGGGCAGCCTCAGTTTGTGTTTAAATATGAACAGTTGCCATCAAAGGTGAGTGGATTATGAATGTCAACCCCACAGCAACACTCAGCAGCCAAGCTCTCCACTGAGTTGTCAGCTCATCCTTTACCCTCCTCTGTTAAGCACATGGCTTCTTCCAATGCCCACCCACGGGGGAGGTCCTCAAGGGACCCCAGGATCTCTGTTCTCTGTAGACACCCACACATCCCACTGAAACAAGAAAGGGCAGCTCTCCCCCAACCTCATCCCTGAGACCCTAGGGATGGATCAGAACAGTACATGCCCAACCAGGGAATCCTGCCCATCTCCACCTCCAAGCCAGGCTTTTCTCCATGCCTGCCTTGCCACCCCACATGACCCAGAAATCATAAAGTCTTCTTTACACCTGGAGGACCTGAATGCTTTCCAGGGCCAGGTCATTATTAATTCCCCCCCCCCACCTTTTTTTTTTTTTTTTTTTTGTCGTTTTGAAGCAGGTCTCCCTGTAGCCCCAGCTGTCCTGGAACTCACTCTGTAGACCAGGCTGGCCTTGAACGCACAGAGATCCGCCTGCCTCTGCCGCCCAAGTGCTGGGACTCCAGGCATGCGCCACCATGCCCGGCATTATCCGTTTTAAGCTGTTCCCACGCCCACCGCTGTGAGTTTCACTCCAGGGCAAAACCGTGTACCGGTCTTGACTAGCGGGATCAATGTGGACTTTCGCTCCCTCCTGTCCCCCGCCACCCCCAGACTCACTCTTTAAAATCCTTTGGAAATTGCCTTCAAAGTCCAGAGCCCACTGGTTGAGTGCGCAGGTGGCCACGGTCACCTTCCTGCCCATCCCTGCTGCAGGCCCCTGGGCGCGAGGCTGGACGGAGGGTGCTGGTGCAGGTGTCCCCCAAAGATATGGGTGCAGACGCCTCCAAAATGAGGAATGTAGGTGCCCCCCAAAGTGCTGGGCGCAGGCGCTCCCCAAAATGTGGGGTGCAGGCGACCCCAAGCGGGACCGCCCAGCCCTGTGCCTGCCCCAGGCGCCCTTCCGGGTCACTTAGTTCCGACTCCTCCCCTTCTGTTCGCGCACAGCTCCTCCCTCACCCCGCCCACTCGATGAGTGACAGGCCGACCTGTCCAGCCCCCGGCTCTGCGCCTGCACTTCAAGGAGGCTGGCGGCTCCTCCCAGGCAGGGTCTCCGGCGCAGACAGGCGGTGCCTGCTTTGCACGTCACTTCTCCAAGGCCACGGCTCCGATATGGTGAGCCTCCCACGTGCACCTGTCGGCCCACGGGGACCGCGACCAAGGTCGCAAGGCCTGGACAACCCCCCTCCCCTGGCCCACAGCACTCTGGAGGCCGTGTGCACCGCCTTGAATCCTTCCTCATCCCCGGAGCCTGGGGTAACTCCGGCAAGGCAGAGCGCGGTCCTGCATCTTGCAAACTGCTCCAACTACACTTTAAATTTAAATATATATATACTTATTACTTCTATTTATGTGTATGAATGTATGCCAGCATGTGTGTAAGTGCAGCCGTGTCGTGTAGTGCAGTGTCCCCGGAGGTCAGAAGAGGGCGTCGGATCCCCTGGAACTGCAGTTACGGATGGTTGTCAGCCATGTGGGTGCTGGGAACTGAACCAGGGTCCTCTGCAAGAGCAGTCAGTGCTTTTTAACCGCTGAACCGTCTCTCCAGCCCACACTTTAAAATTGTTATTACAATTTTATTTTTGTGAGTTTGGGGGTTTGTGTGCCTCGGTGTACAGGTGAAGGTCAAAGCTGTCAGAGGACAGCTCGCAGGAGTCGGTTCTCTCCTTCCACCATGTGGGTCCTGAGGCCAGGTCATCAAATTTGGCAGCAAGTGGCTACCTGCTGGAGCGGTTGTTCATTCCCCACTTTTCACACGGAGTCTTCCGTCCACCTGGAGGACCATTGTCTGCTCTTCCATGTGGAGGGGTCCCTGCCTTGCCATTTATGTGGGATCACCCTACCCTGGTCTCAAGATGAGCATTTGTTTGCACGTTTTACCGTTTTTTCCATTTATAAAGTCATGTTGCTCAAGACAGGCAAGTCACAAACTCCAAAAAAGCAAGCAGACTATCTCTGTTTCATGTATTCAATCCCAGCACCTTTCCCTTGGGGCAGCTTCATCCCAGTGTCCAAATGGTCTGCTCTTTGCTTAAACCCAGGGCTCCAGGTCCCTGCCCTCCTCTCTCAGACCCAGGGGTCCAGACCCCAGCCTCCTCCCTCAGGCCCAGGGTTCTAGATCCCAGCCCTCCTCTCTCAGGCCCAGTCCAGGTTCCTGCCCTCCCCCCTCAGACCCAAGGGCCCAGACCCTAGCCTCCTCCCTCGGACCCAGGGCTCTAGGTCCCCGCTCTCTTCCCTCAGACCCAGGGCTCCAGGCTCCAGCCCTCCTCCCTCAGACCCAGGGGTCCAGATTCTAGACTTTTCCTGCAGACCCAGGTACCCAGGCCCCAGCCCTCCTCCCTCAGACCAAGGTGTCTAAACCTCAGTCTTTTCCTTTAGACCCAGCTGTTCAGGCCCCAATACTCCTCCCTCAGGCCCAGGGTTCTAGACCCCATCCCTCTTCCTTCAGAACTAGGTATCCAGGCCCTGTCCCTCCTCCCTCAGATAAGAACCAATCCAGACCTGAGTCAGAGCAGATCTTTCTGGCTATCTCAGGAGAGAAGGAAGTTCTTAGAATGCAATCTTGATGGATGGCCCACAGCCTCTGCTGGACACTTAAAGGAAGGGCCTGTCACTGCACACATCAGTCTTTGGCAGCTCAGAAGCAACTCTCGGGGGCCTGGGAGCCATTCTCAAAGAAGAGGAAGACCTGTATCTCCATGGGAGGCCAGAACCCCACTGGTAGTTTCCAGTCAGCAGCCCCACTGACTAGATTGTTAGTAGAACTCATCTTTCTTTTCTCTTCTTCTCTGACTCTAACCCCCGTGGTCCCTCTGTGAATTGCTTGGAGCTGACTTTAAGTGTGATAAATTCTGGACGTCACATACCTGTTAGCTCTGCTGTAGACAACGCATGTGGGGAATGATAGAGGTTGCTAGGTTACTGTGCTGGATAGCTTTAGTGTCAACTTGATGTACCTGGGTTGAGGGAGCCTCAATGGGGAATTGCCTCCATTGGACTGGCCTGTGGCCATGTCTGTGGGGCATCTTCTTGATTGTTGAGTGATGTGGGCGGGCCAGCCCACTGTGGGTGGTGCCACCCCTGGGCAGGTGGGCCTGTACTGCATAAGAAAGCAGGTTGAGCAGGGGCCAGGGGATCAAGCCAGTACTTTCCTCCATGGCCTGTGCTCCAGCTTCTGCCTCCAGGTTCCTGCCCTGAGTTCCTACCTTGGGCTCCCTGATGAACTGTGATCTGGGAGATATAAGATAAAACAAACCCTTTCCTCCCCAAGTTGGTATTGGTCAGAGTGTTTTGTCATAGCAATGGAGAAACAAACTAGGAAGGTTACTTTCAGAGACTTGAAGGCCAGTTATCAAAAACATTAGCTCTTGGGCTTGGGAGATGGCTCTGTTGGTAAATGTTTGCTTTGTAAGCAAGAAGGTGTGAATTCCATCCCCAGAGCCCAAGTCAAAAAAGACGACCTAGCTGGGCAAGGTGGAGCACACCTTTAGTCCCAGCACTTGGGAGGCAGAGGCAGATGGATTTCTGTAAGATCTAGGCCAACATGGTCTAGATAGTGAGTTCCAGGCCACTGGGCAAAAGGGAGACCCTGTCTCAAAAAACAAAAACAAAGGGCATAATGGCACCTGTATTATGGGAGGCAGAGGCAGCTAGATCCTGGGGTGAGCTGGCATTCAGCCCAGTCTGCTTGGCTCAAATTCCAGGCCAGTGAGAAACTCACAAAGAAACAACAAAGCAAAACAAACAAAAACAGATTGCCAGGCCTGGTGTCACAAGCCTTTAATCCTAGCCCTTGGGAGGCAGGAGCAGGCAGAGCTCTGTGAGATCTAGGCCAGCTGAGGCTACAGGGAGACCCTGTCTCAAAAACAAACAAACAAACAAAAACAGGTGGACAGTGCCTGAGGAATGACACCTGAGGTTGTCTTCTAGCCCCCACATGCATGTGCACACACACACACACACACACACACACACACACACAAACACATACACAAAGACACATAGACACAGACACATGCACACATACGCAAATAAAGACACACACACACAGGTGCACACACACAGACACAGTCACAAAGACACATACACATAGACACACATGCACACAGAAACACACACAGACACATACATATAGACACATTTGTGCACACAGACAAAAAGACACAGACATACATGCACACACACAGACAGACACATAGACATAGACACATACATATGCACACATACACAAATACAGACAGACACAGACATATACAGGTGCACACACACAGACACAGTCACAAAGACACATACACATAGACACACATACACACAGAGACACACACAGATGCACACACAAACACATACATAGACACATTTGTGCACACAGACAAAAAGACATATAGACACACATGTGCACACACACAGATACAAAGACACATAGACATAGACACACACATATGCACACATAACACAAATACAGACAGACACAGACACACACACAGGTACACACACAGACACAGACAGAGTCACAAAAACACATATACATAGACACACATGCACACAGAGACACACAGGTGCACACACAGACACACATATAGACATACATTTGTGCAGACAAAAAGACACATATAGACACACATATGCACACACACGTGTGCACAGAGACAGACACATAGATACACACAGTCACAAAGACACATACACATAGACACACATATTTGCACACACACACATACACATACACACTGACGAGAGGTCCAGTAGGTGACCTCTTGATGTTAGGAGGCCCAAACCTCCCCCTCAGCTAACACAGCTGTTTCATGAGCACGTGTCCCATCAGAGCCATGTGCTTTATTATGCACACACGGGCACCAGTGAGTTCACTTGCAGGTACCTTTTCCCACACCTTACACTACCCTACTTCCTTGCCATAAATATTCCCAAACCCTGCCCTCTGGGAAGTGGATTCAAGATTTGAGTTTCCCATCTCCGCACATGGCCATCTTGCAAAACTCCTTGCAAAACTTGTTTCAGAGAGTGGCACACTGCATGGCACACAGCATGGGCCTAGTCCAGGAAGAAGGAGGCATGTCACTCAAAATTGGTCAGTGATTCCAGTGAGAGTCCCTGTCTCAGAATAACAGCAATATGGGAAGGCGTCTGATGTGAACTTACAGCTGCCACAGACCCGTGCGCAGGCAAGTACATATATGTCCATGTGCATACACACAGTCACAGACACACACATGGAACCAGTTTGAAAGGGCTCCATCAGCCAAATATGGGACCTCAAAAGAGAGATGGCTCTGGGTAAAGGGCTCATTTCACAAGCCTGGCAAACAGATTTCAATCCCTGGAACTCACAGAAAGGCAGAAGGAGAGAGCCAACTCCGGGCTGGATTAGAGAGAGGAGAAGGCCACGTGAAGCCACTCCACCGGGGTGCGGGGGGAGGTCTGCAGGGTTCTGCCCTGGGCCTTCCGCGGTGATCTAGATGGCTTTCGCTGGCTCAGGTGGAAATGCCTGGCCCACCCTTGCTGCACACCCCACTGGAAGCGCCACGCCCGGTTCGGCGGCCCCTTCTCTACCCCCTTTTTCTCACCACCTAGTCACCCATCACGTGTTTACCGAGTTACCCCCACCACACACACACACACCTGGAACTCTTGCCTTGCACGCACTGTGAAACCCGGTGCCGGGAGGGAAACCGAGACTGGGAGGCCCCGCCCTCCGGCTGCCCAGGAGGCCTCAGTGCAGGGTCCGGGCGCCCCGAGTCCTTGCCCCCGCCCCGCAAACCCGGTGCCCACGCCCCAGTGTCCTCAGGGCGCCGGGTTGCCGCGACCCCCCGTGGGCGTGGCCAGGGGCGTGGCCAGCGCTGCCGTCCCTCTCGCGCCCACAGCCTAGTAGTGGCGCGAATGGTGGGCCCGGAGTCAGCTCACCCCCTCGGCCAATCGCACGGCGCGGCGCACGGAGCCCGCCTCCGATTGGCCGTATACGCCACACGTCACTGCGGTTTGGGGGCGGAGCTCCGTTGCCGGGCTGGTTTTAGGCCCGAAGCGCGAGTCTTACCACGCAGAGGCGGTCCGCAGCTGAGGAGGATGGGTCTGCAGGTCAGGGGACGTATACAGATGGGGAAGCGTCTGTGCAGATGTGGGGGATGTGTGTGCAGATTGGGGGGACGTGTGTGCACGTGGGGCAGTGTGTGTGTGCACATGGGGGTGATGCGCGTGCAGATGGGGCCGTGTGCACATGGGGCAGTGTGTGTGCAGATTGGAGGGCAAGTGTACAGGAGAGGGAGATGGGGCACTGTGTGCAGATGTGGGTGATGTAAGTGCAGATGTGGGGTGGTGGGCGTGCAGATGGGGCCATGTGTGTGCAGATTCGGGGGACAAGGAGGCATGTCACTCAAAATTAGGAGCCCCTTGGTCAGTGACTCCAGTGAGAGTCCCTGTCTCAGAATAACAGCAATATGGGAAGGCGTCTGATGTGAACTTACAGCTGCCACAGACCCATGCGCAGGCAAGTACATATATGTCCATGTGCATACACACAGTGTGACATGTGACACAGACACACAGTCACAGACACACACATGGAACCATTTTGAAAGGGATCCATCAGCCAAATATGGGACCTCAAAGGAGAGATGACTCTGGGTAAAGGGCTCATTTCACAAGCCTGGCAAACAGACTTCAATCCCTGGAACTCACAGAAAGGCAGAAGGAGAGCGCCAACTCCGGGCTGGATTAGAGGAGAAGGCCACCTGAAGCCACTCCACCGGGGTGCGGGGGGAGGTCTGCAGGGTTCTGCCCTGGGCCTTCCGCGGTGATCTAGATGCCTTTCCCTGGCTCAGTTGGAAATGCCTGGCCCACCCTTGCTGCACACCCCACTGGAAGCGCCACGCCCGGTTCCGTGGCCCCTTCTCTACCCCCTTTTTCTCACCACCCAGTCACCGATCACGTGTTTACCGAGTTACCCCCCCCCACACACACCTGGAATTCTGCCTTGCACGCACTGTGAAACCCGGTGCTGGGAGGGAAACCGAGGCTGGGAGGCCCCCGCCCTCCGGCTGCCCAGGAGGCCTCAGTGCAGGGTCCGGGCGCCCCGAGTCCTTGCCCCCGCCCCGCAAACCCGGTGCCCACGCCCCAGTGTCCTCAGGGCGCCGGGTTGCCGCGACCCCCCGTGGGCGTGGCCAGGGGCGTGGCCAGCGCTGCCGTCCCTCTCGCGCCCACAGCCTAGTAGTGGCGCGAATGGTGGGCCCGGAGTCAGCTCACCCCCTCAGCCAATCGCACGGCGCGGCGCACGGAGCCCGCCTCCGATTGGCCGTCTACGCCACACGTCACTGCGGTTTGGGGGCGGAGCTCCGTTGCCGGGCTGGTTTTAGGCCCGAAGCGCGAGTCTTACCACGCAGAGGCGGTCCGCAGCTGAGGAGGATGGGTCTGCAGGTCAGGGGACGTATACAGATGGGGAAGCGTCTGTGCAGATGTGGGGGATGTGTGTGCAGATTGGGGGGACGTGTGTGCACGTGGGGCAGTGTGTGTGTGCACATGGGGGTGATGCGCGTGCAGATGGGGCCGTGTGCACATGGGGCAGTGTGTGTGCAGATTGGAGGGCAAGTGTACAGGAGAGGGAGATGGGGCACTGTGTGCAGATGTGGGTGATGTAAGTGCAGATGTGGGGTGGTGGGCGTGCAGATGGGGCCATGTGTGTGCAGATTCGGGGGACAAATGTACGGGAGGGGAACGTGTGCAGACTTGAGGGGAGTGTGTGTGTGCGCAGGGGAAGGGGCTGTGGGGGGAGATATGTGCTTAGGAGAGGGCACCTGTGGACTGGGTTGAGGGGTTGCTTGCTCAGATGGCCGATGCACCTGGGAGCAGGTACCGAGGAGGACCTCAGCCTAGCTTGGGCCTGTGGTGGGAGACCGAGGGAGCCATCCCAGTGGGATGGGATCTGCGGGTGCTCAGGTGAGCAGGGGCAGGTGTATCCACGACCCTTGGCTCACTCTGTTACCCCAGGGCACACACAACCTGGTGAATCGCTTTTCATTAGAATTTGGGGTCGGTCTACTTATTCTCCCAGGAGATCGTGGATTGGCCAACTAGAGTGAGTCCTGGGAAGCTCAAGGCACAGGGAGGGAGGTGGGGTGGTGTGGTCTCAAGGCTGTGGAGAAGCCAGCCCCCTCAAAACCAGCGTGGCTTTCAGAGTGAGAGATGAAACAACCAGACCGCACTGATTCTTGGATACAGTCGTCTGAGAAACTGTTGCTTAAAACCAAAACCAGCGTGGCAGACGGAAATAGGTGGGTTTGGAACACCGGGAAGAGGTGTTCTGGGTGGGACCAGGTGGAGCCCAATTGCCAAAGAATTTGGTAAAAACCAGGTTTGGGAAAGGTCAGTGGATGTGTGTAGGCAATTATCTATGGAGCAGCCTGGAGAATATCATGATGCCAGGAGCTGGATTAGAGAGAGGAGAAGGATTTTATTTCCCCACGTGTGATATGTTTTAGAACTTCTGAAGAGCAGAAATCCCGTAGCTTTGGTTAAAACCTGAGAACCAAGAATTGGGGGTCTCAGGCCACTCCCTTCCATGTAGGGTTTATGCTTTCCAGATAAGCCAGCACTGCCCCCCTCCCAAACCCTCAGGGTCAGACCAGAGTTCCATGCACAGAGGGTAGTACTCTGGGCCTCCCTGCACTTAGAGAAGGGAGCTTTGCAAACACATGGTGGTCATTTGTCTTAGGGAGGGGTGCAGATATACAAGCTCCAGGTGAACCCAAGGATCACCCCATAAGCTAGCCTCACCATACCTTGAGGGTGGGGGGCACAAATGAATTCACTGAGGCCTGTGGGGCCAAGTGTATTGTTTAATAATACAAAAGAAGGGAACGAAAACCCATATTTCTAACACTGTCGGAGTGGAGCTTGCTAACTAGTCTTTTAAGCAGTTAGGGCTGGGCCCTGCTGTAGAGGGCAGGGCTGTCACTGTGGGGTTCCAAAGCTTTTGATTTCTTTGTGGATTGCCATTTGGTGTCTCATGATTTTACGTGTATAGAGGGTGTTACGGGAAGTTGGACATTTGCCTGTTGACCTGGTCCACTTGAGTATTTTTCCCAGGATGGACTCCCACTGGCACACACAGGATCTATGTGAGGGTCTCTGTAAGGGGCTTCCCATTCCCAGAATGTCCTACTGTCTCATCTTAAATTTCAGTACCATGCCTGAGACTAACAATCTCCAAATTGGATGCCCTAACTGCTTCTGGAATGTTGCAACTACATCCTGTGTGGAAGGTCCTTAGAACTCAGTACTCAGAGTTAATGGTCATCTTACTCCACAGCCTCCTGGTGTGTCACCAAAGTGGAGCTCCAGACCCAGTCCTGTCTCCATAGGCCTCAGTCTTCTCAGCAGTCAAGAGGCTGCCCTGCCCCACTTTCCTCTCCCCATTGTCCTTGTCTGTAAAATGGGTGGGTGGAACAGTGCTCACTCTTCAGGTGGGCTAGGCACCTGGCAGGTTCTGAATAAACAGTTGCTGTTGGTGACAAGTAGCATCATCCAGTGCTGGCACCCTCAGTAGCCGGTGTCCTAATACCTTGCAACTTCCCCAGTCAGGGCGTGGAGGCCGATTCCCTTCCGATGAGTGACAGTGGCTGTGGCCTCTGGGACCTGGTGGTATCTTAAACCCTCCAAGGCCAAGTCTGACTTAGGCCTTGTGTGTGGAAACAGTGTTCACTGTTCTCAGTAAACACTTACTGCCTTGAGGTGTCTGCTGATTGGGCGGCTGCTTCTGCCTGTTTCACTAAATGAGCCTTTGCCCACCCCCTGGTGCTATGGTCACGTGAGGGTGAGGCCTTGAGCCCTTGGTGTCAAGGTCTTCCGTGCTCTGGACTCTGAGAATGAAGGAGCTGAGGCAGCGTCAACAGTAGCTTCGGGTCACACTGAATTTTTGGTCCCATCATTAGGGCCATGTCAGCAGCGGGAGTGGGCCTACCCCAAACCTGCAGCTTCTGATGGACCATTGGGCCACATCTGCCTTACTGGAGTGCTGGGTGCCTCCTAGGTGCCAGGTCACTAAACCCTCAAGATTCCAAATGCTGCTGCTGTGGGCTGAGTTCCTTGGGCTCTCTTGGGGGCAGAGTCTCATTAGCTGTGTCTTATAGGACTTCCTAGGTTAGTCCAGGGGTCCAGGTGGGCTGCCCGTGCTTTCTGTCTTGTTCCTTGGCTCAAGTGTGTGGTAAGCAAATTCTAGTTTTGAGTTCCAGGCAGAAGGGGACGTGGGATAAGAGGTCTTACTCAGCTTTGAGCTAAGTCAGCAAGAGGTAGGAAGGCTGGGGGGTCTAGCTTAGTTGGTAGGGTAATTGCCTCCCATCCATGAACCCCTGAATTTGATCCCTTAAAAAAGGAGGGTGAAATGATGGCTCAGTGGGTAAAAGTGCTTTTTGTGAGGCTTGACCACTTGAATTGGATTCCTGGGACCCACACGGTGGAAGGAGAGAACCAGCTCCTGCAGGCTGTCCTCTGACCCCCATGCACATGCCCCCCCTAATCAACCAACCAGTCGATCAATGAATGAAATAATTTAAGCATGCAGGAGGAAGCGGGAAGGGTTGGTGTGGGTGATGCAGAAGCAGAGTTTCTGAGGCATCACGGGCAGGCAAGACTGCTGGGTTTTACTGTGACTGGAACCTCACCAGGAGTGACCAAGTGGAGCATCACAGTGCCGAACCTGAGGAGAGCTAGACAGGATCGGGTCTCAAAGGGGCCCACGTCTCAGGATAGCCCTAGGAACCTCTCGTAGCAGTGTAGTCTGGGACCAGAGGTGAAGTGGATTTTCAGTGAATTGAAAGGAAGTTTCTCAAAGGAAAGAGAAGACTGTTATGTAAGATTGCCTGGAAAGGAAACTCAGGAGGAGAGAGATGGCTTTTTTCAGGATCCATTGACATTCAGGGATGTGTCCATAGACTTCTCTCAGGAAGAGTGGGAATGCCTAGACTCTGCTCAGAGGGCTTTGTACAAGGAGGTGATGTTGGAGAACTACAGCAGTCTGGTGTCTGTAGGTCTTGCTGTGTGTCAGCCTGTTCTGGTCTCCTGTCTGGAGCAAAGCAAAGAGCCCTGGAATGTGAAGAGAGGGGAGGCTGTAGCCAAGCAGAACTCAACTCTTAGATGACATCAGACAAGGAATAATGCATAGAAACCCTACAAATGTGAAGAATGTGATAAGTCTTTTAGTCAAATGTTGAGTCTTAGAATACATCAGGCAATGCATGCTGGAGAGAAACCCTACACATGTGAAGAATGTGGCAAGTCCTTTACCCAGGCCTCACATCTTAAAAGGCATAAAAATATACTGGACAGAAACCCTACAGATATGAAGAATGTGGCAAGTCCTTTAGTCAGATGTCATATATTAGACAACATCAGTGAATTCATACTATAGAAAATGCCTACAGATGTGAAGAATGTGACAAGGCTTTTGCTCATACGTCAACATTTTGGTCACATCAGCGAATACATCTGGAGAGAGACCCTACAAATATAAAGAATGTGCCAAGTCCTTTAATCAAGGAATGTGAACCAGGTAGTAAATGGCACAAATTCAGCACTAAGGTTCAGTCATCACCCAGAAGTCATTATCTGAGTTATAAAATGTTGTAAACTGTTTTATAACCTACACATTCCATTTCTTTCTGAACTGTGTAGTCTTGATCCTGCCTGGCTTTGATAAGAAAAAGGTAGCTCTTTATTGCTACAGGGACAATAAACTATACATGAGTCGGAGACCGACAAGGGTCATCCTTCTTTCCTGGCACCTGAACAAGTGAACAGTTACTATGGAAATTGCTTTGGCACCTTAACCCTAAATCCCATCTCAAACCTTCTTACTTGAATATTGTAGTTTCACATGATTGTTTTGATACCACAACTCCTCTATATGTTGTATATATGTGATCTATAATAGTAAAATTCCTTCATTCAGAAATAATAATAAAAAAAATGGGCGTGCGGCATACACCTGTCATCTCAGTACTTAGGTATGATGAAGGTGAGAGGATCAGGAAAACTTATTCTTGTTGACATAGCAAGTTTGAGGCCAGTCTGGGCTGCATGAGGCTCATCTCAAGAAAGGGAGAAAGGAAAAGATAGGAACCTGCCACCTCCCCTCTGTGTGCTGGGGGCCACCCATCAAGGCCACAGGCTTTTGGAACCAACCAGCCACGTAGAAGCATGTTCCTTTGCAGACTAAGGTTTCACCTCAGGCATCGCACCCACACTGTCCCTTGCCTCATCTACAGCCATGTAGCTTCCATGCTACATGCTTCTCTGCCCTCTTCCTATAATTTCATTATCCTGTCTTCTTGAGTCTGGTGGGTGTTTTCCTGCTTGCTGTGTAGCTGTGTATGCTGGTGGCTTCACGCGTCCCAGAACTGGTCCCTCACCTTCAGGTCTGTCTAGCTCAGGAAAGCCTTGGTTCCATAGACCTCTGAGTCCAGTGGATTAATTTACTATGGGGTACCGATCTCCTTTAGATTTCTTTCTTTTTTTTTTTTTTTCTTTCAGTCTTTTTGAGACAGGGTCTCCCTCTAGCCCCAGCTGTCCTGGAACTCACTGTGTAGACCAGGCTGGCCTTGAACTCACAGAGATCCGCCTGCCTCTGCCTCCTGATTGCTGGAATTAAAGGCATGCGCCACCACACCCAGCTTAGATTTCTTTTATAATAGTGACCACCACATACCCTTAGGGATGGAGACTTTCATGCTATGGGGTGCTCAGGATGGTCTCCAGGTCTGGTGAGTCCCCATGGAGCCTGGTTCCCGGGCTGGTCTCTGTGATGTTCCAGGGTGGCTGACAGCACCAAGAAGCCCTGGGGGGTTTCCATGTACAGGTACAGCCATCAGCATCCATAGAGAACCTGGCACATCTGCCTGTGACCCCTCTCTGAAAACATTAATGCCCCCACCCAGTGCAGCCCTTTGTGACCCTTGCCCCCACAGCAGGCTGTGGAGGTCCATGCCAACCTGACTCAGCTACCTCCAGATGGGCCCTCCCGAGTCCACATCCCGAGCCCTGAGCTGGCCCTGATTCCAGCAGTGACCTTGACTCCTGTGGTTAGGCTTTTCCACCTGTTGTCAGTTCCCTGGTGACTTTGGTGCCTTTGTGGCCTCTGCAGGGTGGTGTTCCACTTGTGGACAGGGATCCAGCAGGCCTTTTGGGGACTCCGAGCCTGGACATTTTCAAGAGCCAGTTCTAAGCAGGAAAACTTCATTCTGCTTTGAAACCACTGCCCAAAGGTCAAAGGTGAGTATTGCTCACAGCACCCTTGAGTGAGGCCACAGGCAGTGACTCTGCTGCTTTTCAAAACTAAGAGCAAGTCAGGGCCCTGGCCACGTGTCGGCTGCTCTGTGAGTCTGAGAAGCTACGCAGAGCCCGGCCTTCCCTCAGCCCAGATGCCTGGTGCAAGGCTCTGACTTAGGTGTTTTCCCAGAATTCGGTGTCCGACAGAAGGAGGACTGGATGTATGACTTCCAAATAAAGTTAAGGTACTGCTAATTTTTTTCAGTCTCATGTAACCTAGGCTGGCCTTGAACTCCTGCCTCCACCTCCGAAGTGCACCACTGTGTCCCGTTTTACACTGTGCTGGGGCACAGTCCTGGGCTTTGTGCATGCTAAGCAAGCCCTCTACCAGCTGAGCTGCGGCCCCAGCCACACTTGTTATTTATTTATTTTTTTAAATGGATTTTTTTTTTTTTTTGTCTTTTTGAGACAGGGTCTCTCTGTAGCTCCAGCTGGCCTGGAACTCTCTATGTAGACCAGGCTGGCCTCGAACTCACAAAGATCCTCCTGCCTCTGCCTCCCAAGTGCTGGGATTAGAGGCATGCGCCACAACACCCAGCTTTAAACAGATTTTTAAAAAATATTTTATTATTTTTATTTTATGTGTATGCATGTATTGCCTACATATATGTAAGTGCACCCATGTCATGCAATGCCCACAAAGGTCAGAAGAGGGCATCAGATACCCTGGAACTGGAGTTACTGACAGTTGTTAGCTGCCATGTGGTGCTGGGACATGAACCTGAGTCTTGTGTGCTGGGAATCGAACCCGGGTCTTCTGCAAGAACAGTCAGTGTTCTTAACTGCTGAGCCAAGTCTCCAGCCCCTTGTTATTATTTTTATATCATTTTATTTATTTATTTGCTATGGCGTAGCAGTGGAGGTCAGAGGACAACTTTCAGGAATTCCTCCTCCATGTGGGTCCTGAGGATTGAACTCAGGTTGTCCACCTTAGCAGCAAGCACCTTCACCCACAGAGCCGTGCTGCCCTTGTCTCTTCTTGATCTCTAGAAGGTACATGTTCTCACCAGGCACAGTGGCTTACAGCTATAATCCTGGCAATTGCGGGGCTGAGGCAAGATTGCTGTGAGTTCCAGGCCAGCCTAGGCCAGGGGATGAGACCCTGTCTCCAAAAGGAAAAATATGCATGTACTCTTAGCAGTCCCAGGGCTTGGCTCCGAGCTTCCCTACTCACTGGCTTTTGCAATCATCTGGCTTGTTAGATTATCAGAAGGTAATGTTGGTGCTGAGCTCTATCTCCTTGGAGCTTATCTGTGAGTCAGCTTCCCATAAGCAGGTGGGCATGCGGCTTCCAGCTTACTGTGGTTAATGTGAGGACTCAAGATGGACAAGAGAGGTGAAGGCTGGTAAATTTTACTGGAGTGAAGACTTCTCAGAAGCAGATCTCTTTCCTTTTTCTCCTTTCCCTCTGTTCGTGTGTGGGATGTGTGTGCATACGTGTGTGTAGCAGGTGCATGTATGTGCATTCATGTGGAGACCTGAGGTTTATGTCAAGAATCTTCCTCATTTGTTCTCTGTCTCCTTCTGGGAGGCAGGGTCGCTCAGTCAAACCCTGAGCTCTCTGATACAGCTGGAGTCACTAGCTAGCTTGCTCTGGGGATCACGTCTTCATCTTGCTGGGTTGGAATAGCCAGCTGGCCACTGCCCCATTTACATGGGTTCTGGGGTCCGAATGCTGGTCCTCTTCCTTGGGCAATAAGTTCTTCAACCTCTGAGCCAACCCTATGGCCTGAGGCAGCTGGTTATTTGGGGGGGGCGTGACTCTATAAACTTGGGACCCCCAGAGCCAGGCTTTGGGTGTGATGTGTTGGAGTTGCACAGAGTGGCCTGGCCCACTGAAAGCATGCCTCCAGCCTTCACGGAGCAGTCACAGCATAAGCCTCCCGGTGGGTTGAACAGCTGCAGCTGAACTTCTTGGGTCTCCTAACAAAATGCCTTTTACCACTAAAATAATCAGGATGTCCACTTTTATTTTTATCTTATGTGTATGAGTGTATTGCCTGCATGTATGTAAGTGCACCTATGCATGCAATACCCACAGAGGCCAGAAGAGGGTGTTGGGTCCCCTGGAACTGGAGTTATGAATGGTTGTTAGCTGCCATATGGGTGCTGGGAACCAGACCCAGGTCCTCTGCAAGAGCAGCCAGTGCTCTTAACTGCTGAGCCATCTCTTCAGCCCTGCTTTTTT